GAAATTTCACATGCACTATTTTCGCCGGTCGCTTAGCTGGAGGAGGGCAAGCGATTGTCGCCTCACTGCACAGGCTCCATAGGAAATGAATGGAGAGCGAGCGAYGTCGCCTCCCGTGTGTCGAGCYCTTTAGGTGCAAGTCAAGAAAGAACCTCTAACAGCTGCAACAAATCAAAGCTAATGTTGAACTTTTTGACCACAATGACACAATGTGAGGCTGTCAGACCTAAAAGCACTGAATCAACAGTCAAGCAGGGTGGTGGTACCATCATAAGTGGTCCACAAAGCAGATRAATATTTGTGGAGGTGGCAAACTTTAATTGATGTCCAGACACGTCCCAGGGGCGTTTCTGGTCCCCACCTGTCGTTTTGCTCCTCAGCATGGCTTCATAAAAACGCTGCAGGATTTCTCAAACATGCATGAATGAGTCAAAGCAAGACTTTGGGCATGTTTTTTATGAGAGTATAACATTATAACACGATATAAAACTCAAAAAAGTTGATTTTACATGATATTGCCCCTTTAAAAATATTACCCTGTGTTTAAATTATAGTTTTTCATCTTCAGGGTGGATTAAGTGTTTTACTTATTTTATTCTTTAATTATTTTTTTTCTAATTAGCAACTTAACAGATTCCTGTTTTGTTATATTTTATAAATATGTCCAAGTTCAATAATGTGAGAGAAATCCACATTTCTCTGTTCATTCGGTCAGCGTTTAATACAGCTGGCACAATGAATTGTTAAAATAAAAGACTTGATTCAAGGGAAATGTCAAGTTTTTAGGAAAACGGCCGCTTATCAATTAATCGTTAGTCGATCGATAAGATCAATCAACTTTAGATTAATCCATTAATCGATAACTTGCATCCCTAGTTCAAACCAACAAACTCTTTTCTGTCAGTGCAAAATAAAACCACACATAAGACTATACCTGACCACACCTGTGACTAAGCCGGTCTCTGAAGCGTGTATAAACAATAATCTACCCCCCTCCCTCTGTCCCACTCTGCCTACTCCAGATAATGAGGACAGGGGTCCCCTGGTGAAGAGCTACTTAAAAACTGCTCAGCCTCAGAGTGCGAGCAAACAGCAGCTCGTGGTGCATTAACAGCTTGCTTTCATCTGCAACAACAACAGAACGTCCTGACACGGAGCTGCTGCAGATCCTGTCCTGAGAAACCTGACGAGGTCTAAACGAGGAGGAACCAACATTAATGTGTCTTTAAACAATCTGGGAAAGACACATGATGATGTCATGGCTCGAATATCACGCAGAAGTCCGGATGTCAGTCAAACAACCCACTGGACGTCATGCAAGAACCGTTCGTACGCACAGATTTGTTCTTAAGTTGTGCGTACGAGTGATTTAGGAGAATTTGTGGCATTCACCAATGTTTTCAT